CGTACACATGGGACTGACAATATTTAAGTGCTATTTTCTGAAGTTATTGTTCATGCTCACCACTATATAAAAGAAGAAAGTATGATTTTGTTCAGTTATTATTTAAATGGTGTGCCTATTAGGATCGCTAGCATGCCCACAATTTAAACATGTCTAGTAGTATGATCTACCATCTCTTAGGTCATGCATATAGCATATGAAAGTATCAATTTAATTATGTCAATGATAAGCACACCGATTTAAATTTGTTGCAAACCTATAACGCAACGCAATGTATCTAAAAAGGGAAATAGGGATACTCTATGTTGTTTGATAAGAGGTGTTTTAATTTGGGCCTGAGCATAATCGGCAAGTTTATTTTCCCAAAGAAAAAATATATATACATAAGAACTTGAACCCCCATACTTGACCGCGCACCAAATAGGATTGCGCTTTCAGCTGGCCCAGTGACCTGTTTATATGGGTCTATGTCCATAGCTTTCTTCTTTCTTTTACTTTTTATATATTCTCTATCTGATTTTTTTTCTTTTGTCCTGTCTGATATTATTTATCTATTTATTACTAGTATTTCACTTTTTGTGACCATGTTATTCTATTTAAATAACGTATTGTTACTTTTATATTTTGATTTGATTTTGTGCGTGCTCAATACATGCATATTTCACGCTAATACAAACTCATTTCTCTGGAAGTCATGAACATATTTTTAAAATACACGAATATTTATTTTGAAATATATGAGTATTTGTTTTGAAACACATTACTATTTTTATTTTAACAATTTATTATTAAAATAATTGAATAGTTAGAATATATAAATATTTTATATACTACACAATTTTCATGTGTCTACAAAAACATTGTCCTAGAATAGCAACGAAACATTATGTAAAAGACATGGAAATGTTATTTCTCCATATATATACGAATATATTTAACATCTCAAATGTATTTGTTTGAGCCACGGAGATGTTTTAATGATACTTTGAAATATAAAAATATTTTTAGAATATTGAGTTGCTCACTGGTAAATCCTATTTGGCGCTCGATGCAACAGATTGTCGATGAAACGCGCACCATGTGCCTTTCTGGTCTTGGCCCATTCTGTTTTCATCCTTTTTTGGTTCCTTTTTCTAAAAGAAACTTTCATTTTCTGTTCTTTTTTTATTACAATTTTTCTGGCTTTTTTTGTTTTCATTTTCATTGACTTATGATTGTTTTCATTTTGTTTGGACGTGAGCGTTATTTCCACAATATACGAACATACATTCACATTTATGATTTATTTTTTAAAAGATATGACTTTCTTTGAAAGATGCATGAATATTTCTTTGTGCATTTTTCTAAAAAAATGAGCATGTATATCTACTTACGTGGACACTTTTTAAAAGTTTCCACAACATAAATTTTTATTAAAAAATACTTTTTACAATACTTTTCCTAAAATTTGTTGAATGTAAAACCAAATTTTTTTTTGAACAGCAACAAGCTAAAAGTGTCACGTGATGGGCGTCCCATTTAGGAGGCATCATGCAATCACCCAGCAGTCCCTTCACACACCGGACAAGACCCGCGAGTCCAAATGGGACAGATTTTAATGTATGACATATGCGCATTATGCGTGGGTTTTCTGCTAGAATTTTTCACACCCTTTGTATGTATATTTTCATGAATTTGAAGATGCTACATTACTGTTGCACCCATGGAGCTTTTTTTAGTGTCAAGGGGGCGGGGCGGGGAGGCGCCTCCCATGAATATTTTTATTTTATAAAAATGCTAACCTTGTGGCTTGGGAAAGAGTTTGTAGGGGTTTAGCGAGAGGAAAGTTGGTCGCGTCATAGACCTGTCTGGCCCCTAAGTTCGGAAGATCTCAAGCGATTTGACCAAAACTTGAGATCGTCCCTAATATTTAGACATGCTATTGGGGTGGGTACATTTTGCTACCTAGACACCTTTGCATTTCTAGCATCCCATATTTTCCACATAGTGATGAGCAGAACGAAGGTGGCGATTGCCTGGAAAACCATGTGCTGGATCTACTGTCTAGATGTTGTCGAAGGGGCTGGCCGAGGGGGCGATGTTGATAGCGCGTCAAACATTCCTTGCAGTGGTGCAAGTGAAGAAGAAATGAACTTATGTACTTAATCATGGTATTGCATGTAGGGCAGTCCATGGATCATGGAAGCAATGATTTTCTTTTTCTTGTGCAGGTTTTGGCGTGTGTTCAGTCGGTCGAGGTAAAGGAGCCAACCAAAAATCTTAACCTTTGAAGAAACTTTGGAAGCCTAGATGGCCTCTTGCTTGGGGTTTGTAATCCGTTGCATGATAGATTTGTAAGCTCACTTGATGGTGAAGTTGGAGCCATCAAGCAACATTCTCCTATCGCTAATTTGTTGCCACCGGGATTAGCAGATTACGCAAGGCAAGTTCGCTGCCATCATGTAGCATGATACTATCTAGCCTAGCATGTTGGTTGGTGTGGTGATTGAATAGAGCTGGAACGTAGTTGCCAGTGGTTCACGCAGAAGTCAATTCTCAAACTATCCAAACCAAACACGTTTAATTTTGAGGTTTCTTGCAGATGGGCTTATAAAAAAAGAAGAAATTCTCTGTTGATATGAATAGTCTATTATTCCTATTAAGACAGAATGTCACAGCTTGTTGGTGGAGTCCCCCCCCCCCTCCCCCCCCTCCCTCCCTAAAAACAATGTTGGTAGAGTTTTTTTGTTTTGACACAGAGACTTGTTGCTTGAATCGGGTGCGAGCTTAAAAGCGTAAATACAAAATCGTTGTGTCAAATCAGACGATGACTGAGATCGACCTTTTTAAATAAGAGAAATCAAAGCATCCTCTTTCCACCAACTTTAGTTTTGTTTATTTTACAATTTTTGACTAGTGCACGCATATTTATTTTTATAAGACGTTTCCAGAGACCTAATACATCTTACTCCCTCCTTCCATCTATATAGGGCCTAATACTTTTTTCAAGACCGTCTTTGACTATTGACAAGATTAATAGTACATGACATGCATAATGTGAAAATTATATCATTGAAAGTTTCTTTCACATACGAATTTGACGATGTACTTTGTGTAAATTACATGTCAGATATTATTGCTTTAACATTTGATAAAAGTTAGCCTCAAAAAATGCATTAGACCTTATATAGATGAAAGGATGGAGTACACAAGTTTACAGAGGGAATATCACAGTGGGAAGTGGGAAGGAATAAAGCGGCCAAAATGATATGCCGGCTCAGTCTTTCGGAGGTGCTCATAGGATAAAGTGTGTGTGTGTGCGTTCATAGGGGTGAGTGTATGCGCGTGTATATGAGCGCTTGTGTCTGTACTGATGCTAAAAAAAAATACATCTTACTCCAAAAGTTTACAGAGGGAATATCACAGTGGGGAGGAATAAAGCGGCCAAAATGCTATATTCCGCCAAGTAAACGAAAATGAAGGGAGTTATAAGCGGCAAAATGTGCCATAGCTTTCGAGCAGGAGGCCGATTCCCGTGCCACGAGCTAACAATAATAGGCATAAAATGGTTACATTTCCCATCGGGAAATAGTAGCTTTTGGATCTTCCCCGGCATTGTGTGGACGCCGGCCACTACTTTCCAAGCCCGGCCTCACGAGCATCACCGCGTCGACGTCCGATTCCCGTCCCGGTCCAAAACCTTCTCCCATTTCGCGCAGCGGGGCCGCGCCCGGACGGCGACGTCCGCCCCGCCCCGCCCCGCCCGACCCGACCCCGTCCCGTCCTCTCCTCTCGTCTCCTTCCCCAAACTCTATCGGCAATCGGTGCGGCCTATCCTCCCCCGCGCGCGTCTCCGCCACCCAAATCCCTCCGCTCCCACCCATAAACTTATCCAAAACCGGCCGCCCCACCCCGCTCCAGCCCAGCCCCGCGCCCAACGCGATCGCCCCAGGCCTCCCCGCGCTGCTGCAGCAATGCCGGCCCTCGGGACGCTCTCCGCCGGCGGCGCCGCCGCCGGCGTCGCAGGCCTGCTCCGCCTCCGCCGCGGCCCCGCCCTCGCCTCGCCCCTGCCGGCCGCCGCCCGCGCTGGCGCCGTCCACGACGGCGCCCAGCTCGTCTGGGGCCGCCAGCTCCGCCCGGCCCTTGTCCTCCCCGCCGGCCTGCTCCCGCTCCAGGCCTCCAAGAGGCTCACGCTCCGCCCGCCCGCCGCCTCCGCCGAGCCCGCCGGGTGAGTGATCGTTCTCTACCGCCACGTCTGCACGCTGGAAGCTTCTGGAAACGCCTCTGGCCGGCCGTTTTGTTTAGTTGCACACAGTTTGGTTTCCTCGCTCCCACGCGCCGCGCGGAAAAAAAAATTCACCCACATTTGCGCCGCTGCACATGCGAGCGGCACGACTTCAAATATTCTGGTCCCACCTGCAGCCACACTGATCGCTGATCGGTGGGGCTCACAGCCACAAAATCCGTGCTCTGTGCGTGGGAGTGCGCTTTTAACAATTTTATTACTTTCTGATGACTGTGGTTGCAACAGGGAGGCCAAGTCGCCAGGGTTGCTGGAGAAGTACCCTGCAATCACCACCGGCTTCTTCTTCTTCATGTGGTACGTTCTCGCTGCCTCACTCAACAGCAACACGGCCACCCTTTGGCTTTCGTGGATCGATCTTGCAGTGATTTTATTCAGCTAATTTGTGCATTCTGGCGCAAGTGATCCTGCAGGTACTTCCTGAACGTCATATTCAACATCCTCAACAAGAAGATCTACAACTACTTCCCCTACCCATAGTAAGTGTGTCATATGCTGATATGCATCCTTGCCTTTGTTTTGAAACGATGAAGATCAGCGACTGTGACTGGGTTGCAACTTACACTGGAAAATGGCACTGCTGATTGCAGCTTTGTTTCGGTGATCCATCTACTTGTGGGAGTTGTGTACTGCCTCCTCAGCTGGGCCGTTGGTCTCCCGAAGCGTGCGGTAATTCGAACCATCTTGCTGTAGCATTGTGTTTTCTTTGAGAATTCACACAGTGGTCAGAATGGTCCTCAGTTGATGGGTCTCCTGTAAATTCATAAAAGTTCAGCGGCCTCACTGAGACTGTAGGAACAAAGATTTCATAAAAGTTTATGAATATTGTTCAACTGATAGGCTTCCTGTAAATTTCATTATAATGTTGCACTCATGGATCATATGCCACTGCCATGTTTAAGCCTCTGCATAAAATGTAGGAAATCTTACAATTTCTGGTTTTAAAAAAGAATTGCAGTTGTTAAGTAAATTGTAGAGACTCTTTATTTGAACCGTAAAGCAAATCTGTTGTTCTTTGTGTGGTCAATGAGCTTAAACTAAACTTGATCCACCCTTCATCTTTTCATACATTAGAAAAGTATGCGTTCATTAGAATAGCATGCCTCTATATTGACAACATATTAGAAGAATTTATCATATCAATAGCTGCTTCTGATCAAGGCCATGTTTCTTATCTTGAAATTTGCATAAAAATTAACACAAATTACCGCTATCTTCCGTAGCCTATCAATGCAACGCTCCTGAAGCTGCTCTTTCCGGTGGCATTGTGCCATGCTCTTGGTCATGTCACAAGCAACGTGTCCTTTGCTACTGTTGCAGTCTCGTTTGCCCACACTATTAAAGGTGCCTCTTTCATGTGCAGATTTCAGTTTGGAGTTCTCTTGTCCCTTTTCTGTTTTATATGCTAATTCTTCTGTGTTACATAATTGCTATGCAGCTTTGGAGCCCTTCTTCAATGCAGCTGCTACCCAGTTTGTCCTTGGACAGACAGTTCCCTTGTCTCTGTGGTTGTCTCTTGCCCCTGTTGTGCTTGGTAATTTCTCAATTAAGCCTTCTGTTACCAGTTTGCTAGTAAAGCTGTAGAAATTAATTTTTAGTATAAGAAACCAGTTAAAATTATTGGATACAGTGATTAAAAGACCGATAATACCTTGATCAGACAAGTTTCTCTAGTGGCACAATTCCTTTCCTGTCATTGTTATCATTTTTCACTTGATAGCATGTGCTAAATAGTACTAGTAACTTCTTTGGTCCATGCCTTTTTCTTCTTCAACCTATTTAACTACTTGAACATGACCAGGTGTTTCAATGGCATCCCTCACTGAACTGTCATTTAGCTGGAAGGGTTTCATCAATGCTATGATCTCTAACATCTCGTTCACTTACCGGAGTATTTATTCCAAGAAAGCCATGGTTTGTGCCTGTTTTCTTCTTGTCGCTTGACTCCTCATCTTTTGTTGCCTTTTGGGCTGTTGCTGTTCAATTCCTTTGTTTTTACTAACCATTTTTGTCGTTGCAGACTGACATGGATAGCACCAACGTGTATGCTTACATCTCAATAATTGCTCTAGTTGTCTGCATACCACCTGCACTTATTGTAAGTGTGATAAATATAGCCCAAACAAAAAAGGTTTCTTGTGTTATGCTTCACGTTTCTTATTTTGAATGACCAACCTTGCAGATTGAAGGACCACAGCTAATGCAGTATGGATTAAACGATGCAATTGCAAAAGTAGGAATGACAAAATTTGTATCAGATCTTTTCCTGGTGGGATTGTTCTACCATCTCTATAATCAGGTAACCAGTTGCATAGGCTCTTGTTGGAATAATTAGGTGTGGCATTTGAGCTTTCTCATGGCATTACACCATACCATTTGTAATAACATGAGCCATACAATGACTTTACCGGCATCTGTTTCTTATGCAATGTAGAGATCAACATTTAGCAGCAGTTGATCGTGATGTTGCCAGACTAGCACATTCCATTTTTGATGGTTTCATCTGTTATAATCCGTTACATGGCTCATGGCAGATTGCTACAAACACTTTGGAACGGGTGGCCCCTCTGACACATGCTGTTGGCAATGTGTTGAAAAGGGTTTTCGTCATTGGTTTCTCGATCATCATTTTTGGTAAATAAAATGTCCCATTATTTATTATGACTAAATATTATTTGCCCAATTGTCCTTTTTTCTGTGGCATGGGTTTATGCCTAGTTTTAACCCTTGCTAAATCTTGTGTGAGCAGGCAACAAAATTACCACACAGACTGGAATCGGGACTTGCGTTGCAATAGCTGGTGTTGCCCTCTACTCGTACATCAAAGCTAAGATCGAGGAGGAGAAAAGGGTAAGCTTCCCCTCAATTATTCCGGTATCTCCTAATCTGAATACATGTAAAGAGGAACCAATATGAGCTGTTTCTAACTGGAATATGATTATACAGCTTTGGCAACATTGAACGACCAAATAAATTGAAAGTTTTCTTGATTAATCCAAGCAACATAACATATTTTTCTGTTCTTGGTTACCCCAGGAAAGGTAATTTACTAAAAATAATTCTTCCTCTTGGTTACCCCAAGAACATATCGCATATTTTTCTAATCAACCAAGACCCTCAAAAGGTCAAAATCAGCTAGTCAAAGAGTATAAATAACAAGATGAAAACCTTTCAACAATTGGATTGGTATGGTCAATGCTAACCATGGTTGTAGAGAAGACAAATATGGAGTTATAAACATTTTTTCCTTGTATGATCCAAGAGCCATGTTAATGCCGCAATCTTATTTATCTTGCTCAAATCTTTGCAGGCGAAGGCCGCCTGATGAGGTGACTGCTGTGAATATGGTCTGATGGTTTCCGGCGCTCGAGTTGCATTGCCTCGGAGACGACATGGACGGATCTCTTCTTCGTTATTTGTTTTTTGTTTTTCAGTTATCTGCTAAAGTGTTCCCTTGTGAGGTCAAACAGCTACATTGCAGATGGTAAGACTGGTTGTTTCCATCAGATGAGAGAGCTCAGATGTGCAGTAATAAACGCTCGTACTTGTAAAGGCTTTTGGTTTTGTGTGTGAGGACCGAGTTATCTTCTTTGTACCCTTCCTTTCGTTAGTTCTTCTGCTATGCAATGTTGGACTCAGACCATCAAGTCTTCTGTGCTGTGTCTCTAGCTCTCTTTTTTTTTACTTTCTGACACGCCTCGTCAGTTAGACCATATACACTCATCCTCCATACACACGTTTGATATGCAAGTTTAGCAGAGAATGGTGTTAGGGCATCTCGACCCTCAAAATGGTCACAGGTATTTGCCTGGGGCCTCTCCAGACTCGTCCGTAGACATGAATACAGAAGCCGACCATCCAATGATGTCCCTTAAATGCCTGTCTTTGTTTTTTTTCCCCAAGTCCGCAATACTCAAGATAATAATAGAAAATGGCATATTTCATCAATAAATAACATGTAAGTATCCCTTAGTACAACAATAGTTTAAATATAAATATTACATCTGAGATAACTGGATGTTCAACAAGTTTTTCAAATTCATCGATTTTAAATTCAACGATACTTGAGTCAACCGCATATGTCGTCTCATGCATTGTGCCCCATAAGTTTCATCAAACAATGTATGAATGTAAATTGCCAGCCCTTAGTTCTGTGGTAGTGCATGACAGCGCGTCCAAGCTATACAAGGGGGTGATTATCGAGTTGCAATATTTAGTGAATGCATGACCAACATGTAGAGCAGCAGAAAGCAAAAACTTACAATCTACATGGTTGAAGAGCCTGGTGGGCACTTTCTCTCCACTTGTGTAATCTACTGCGACCATTGATGGCCTAGCAACTTCACATTGCGTTCATGGATCACGTGCTAAGTCGTAAGGCGTGAATGACTTTGCTCATGAAATGAAGCATGCATGTTTTTCCAAAAGGTTGAGCCCCCTTGCCTCATGCCTACAAAGTCCGCAGACATCCAACAATGCCCGGGTGGCGGCCAAAGAGATAGAGGAGGATGCAGATGCTGAGCAAGGGAGAATCAGGGACGGAGTGAAAGAAAAATGGCCCAACATATTGGACACTTTCGGACGTATGTGGGCATCCACAGGAGGATGCGGATTCTGAGCAAGGAAGAAACATGGACGGAGTGAAAGAAAAATGGCCCAACCGTATTGGAATTCAGACACGTTCAGGTGGAGCGGCTCGTCCATGGATTTTCCTTTCTTCTGCTACAATTTCACTCAAAGGGGAGAATGTGGGCGTTTTGAGAGTCAACGTTGGACACGCCCTTACTTTAAAAATCCAGACTTCCCTGTGCTCTATATAATAGAGATGGTCTAGCTGACGAAGCTCATGTATAGCATAAATTGGTTCTGAGAATGCATCAGACTTCCCGTGTCATTTGTACACTAAATTGGTACTGAGAATGCACCATAGTTCCTATGTCATTTGTACACAGGACCATAGCTAGTTCAAATATATATAACACAGCGGAATTATCCTGACACAACAGGGGACAAAATCTGTATAACGTTTCTGGACTCAAACCTTCCTGCAATCCCGAGGAAGAACAGATTAAAACATTGACAACAACCAGCCTGGTCACATATGTGAAAAAGCCTCTACCAAGTTATGGGGAAAAACAACACATAGAATGACAACATCATTTCTACAGGTATGTAAACGGAATAACCAAGACCAATTCCGCTCATTGTCCAAACCGGACAGATAGAAATCTACCTAGCCACATGCTGGAGATATTCACAGTCGCTTTCATCAGTCTATAGAAAATGGCACACAGGGCTAAGAACCCAACAGCCTTTTGATCCCAGCTTTCTGGTCAGATGTCAGCCTGGAAGGGAACTTGATGCTGAACTTAACGCGCAGATTTCCCTTCTTACAGGGCTCCTTGGGTATTGGCATCCCCTCTCCAGGGATCACCTCTTCATAGCTAGGGTGGATTACCGAGTTAACTTGTCTAGACAAGCTCCGCCCGTCGAGCGTTGTGAGTTGCACGGTATAGCCAGTCAATGCTTCCACCAAGGAGATCTTCTGTGTCATGACAAGATCGTTTCCTTCCCTGGTGAAAACATCATGGGGCTTCTCTTCAATGATGAAGACAATATCAGCAGGCATCATGCTTGGAGATTCATTTCCCTTTTCAGGGAAGGTGATCTTTGTCCCCTTCTTCCAACCGGGCTTCACATCTATCGTCAGAATTTCTTCTACCTGTGAAACTCTCCTGAAAATGTAAGTAAAATTAGCAAGCGGGCACCAATAAAGCATGGTCCTGAAACAATACATTGATATCTTTATGTCAAAGCATAACACAAGGTATTCACAAGAACATAGCCACACAGCTAAATATATTTAAACACCATCCATAAAATTTTTGCCTAACATAAGCAAACATCAACACAATGCACACACCCTTAGGGTGGAAATGACAACCATGAAGACATAACAATTTCAGAAGTGTCTCTTAAAGACACATCAAAGCTAGACCACCTGATGCCTATGCAGCCTGCACTGTAGAATGACCTATGCAGGGCTTCACTATCACATGAAAAAATGGTTAACAAGAATACCCACCTGGGCACTGACTACAGAAAATTAGGCAACAATTAATATGCATATACATGAACCTAGCCCTTTTTCGAATGTTCTCTACGTGTTAGCAAAGCAGACCAACTGGAAAAAGATCAGAAGGTATTCACAAGGGAAAGATGAAAAGCTATCCTAAAAGGAAACATGTAACGACCATCTCTTCAGAGAAAACGTGTCAGAAAACAGGTGTTATTTGGCATGTCCAGATTTTTTAACAAACTGTACAGCAGAATCCGAGTCGGATTCTGACACTCACGTCCGCATCCAAGTACGCCCATGCAGAACATACTATAACAACAGCACTTGCATTTTTTTTGGCAAGTTAATCTGTTGTTACATAATTTACAACATACATAAGTGTTAACTATTGTCACCACTAGCACTAAAATTAGATTAGTTATCCGTTTTCCCAACTATTGTTACATAATTTACAACATAAGTGTTAACTATTGTCACCACTTGCACTAAAATTAGATTAGTTATCCGTTTTCCCCACCTATGTGAAGAATAAAAAGTCAATCCAAAAAAATTCCCAACTTGGATAGCCGAATCCGAGTCGGATTCCGACTTGTATCAGTGTACAAGTAAAACTCATGAAAAACATGCTATTCATACTGCATAGCTGTAAGATTGAATAGAAAGAGTGAGCAATGAAGAGACTGGTTTCTTGTGCTCAGCAAGGAAATAAGAAAATCAAAAGGACTGCTGCAGTTATTAATAGCTATCATAGGTATCATCCCTGTGCTACAAAAACTATACAAATACCAGATAATCTATGGCTCAAAACAAATTCTCAATTCTATCCAGAAAGTATAAAGCCAGCCGCTAAACAACAAAATGCAACTTAGCTTCACAAGGCCATCTTGATAAGTTGACTACTATGAAAAAATTACACTGCTATTTCTAATAGTTGAGTGGAAACTAAATTAATTTGTCACAACAATAGTGGACACACACAGGCCATAGAAACTAAATTAATTTGTCACAACAACAGTGGACACACACAGCCCATTGAAGAACAATATGCTTGCTCCAAATAAAAGTTTCTAATGCAATTAATTCACCACCGATAATCCGTTGAATCCCTATAGCCTATAGGAGGTTACATACCGCGATTTCTCACATCGACGTGCTTAGATGAAAAGTTCAGGAAATTCAAGGAAGCTTACCCACTGGTCTCTATGACCTCTCTTGAGATTTTCATCTTTTTGGCCACACCCTTATACAAATCCGCAAGGGTCACTGAAAGCTGATTCTCAATGGGTGCTGGTTTGTGTGATGGGCGCGGCATATTGCCGGCAGAACCCTCTGCAAATCGCTTAGCGAGATACTCGTTGCTAAACACGCCCCCACCATAAGATCTTGGTTCCCCTCTCATGCTGCCACCCGGCATGCCACCCAGGAAGGAAGGCCCAGAAAATCCAAAAAACTCAGCAAATATATCATCCGCACTCCTCGGATTGAAGTGAAATGAGGTTGACTGGCCACCACCAGGGTAGAAAGAAGATGCACCAGGACCTCCTGCCCCTGGAGGCGGCTGTCCCTTGAGCCCTTCTTCCCCTAGCTGGTCATATATTGTGCGTTTCTGGAAGTCGCTAAGGACCTGAAAGGTCATAAGGCAACACATAGCATCAATGCACATTTATAGTAAATGGCTGGAAGTAGAGTCTTAAGTCTTAACTAATTATTGGAAGTTAAACTTGCTAAAAAATGGCAGGATCCGGTCCAAAATATCGTTTCTAAACTGTACAACAGAAAATACCAACCAATGAACAATGTAGTAATTGCCAATTTAACCATGACAGATGCTTGCGCTAAAAGATGCCAAAGGAGTGGATTAATGTTTGCATCAACAGATAAGTGTCTTTGAACTTGCAACAGTTGTTTAGGGTCCCTACTTAACATTATTTCTAACTCCCGGATTCTAAACAAAGATGCAATGCAATTCTACCTATCTCCAGCGTACACAATTAAAAGTTTAAAGGATAGCAGATCATATCGCTGGGTGCAGTAAGACCTACAGCAACAACAAAGGGCATACACCATTATGTCCAAACTTGCACTTGAAGGAAATCTTTCCATCAGACAGACCTACCGCAAGGACTGTCGATCTGAATTGATCGCATACACAGATACACAAGGATCAAAACGTGAACTTTCATGATTGGCGATGAACAGATTTCGCTAACTGTTCAAGAGCGGAAGAAAAAGGAAATCTAATCTTGGCAGGAGGAGATCAAAAAAGAAAAGCAACCTCGTACGCCTCGGAGATCTGCTTGAACTTGGCCTCCGCCTCCTTCTTGGTGGTGGGGTTCTTGTCTGGGTGCCACCGCATGGCGAGCTTGCGGTAGGCCTTCTTGAGGTCGTCGTCGCTGGCGCCGCGGTCGACGCCGAGGACCTTGTAGTAGTCGACCCCCATCTCTTTGGGCGCCGGAGCTGCCGGCTCCGTCCGCCGGCGGCCGCCCCGCGTGGACGACGACTCTGCTGCCTTCCGCTTGGTTCCGCCGGCCCCTCGAATCTTGCCGGCCTTGTCGTCCCCGTCCCCTCACCGGAGAGGTTCGCTCGCTCCCTCGGTCGGTCTCCCTTATCGCACGCCGCTGCGCCGAGCCGTGGGTGGCCTCGGTGCCCGGTTCCGTCTCGTGCTCGTGACGGGAAAGGCGGCTCGCACCGGGTTGCGAGGAAATTAGTAAGGGATGGAAGCTTCCAGAAGCATGCCATACGTGTACAGGTAGATAGAATTCGGTCGCGGTTGGGCTCTGCGGCGCGGGCCGTCCGGTGGGACCTGTCAGCCCATCTATCTTTTGATGCGCTTGTGGTTAAGAATGTGCCCAGCAAAAAAAAGCCCGAATGATCATCAAAATAAAGAGCAAAAAACCCCAACTGACCCTTAACAAAAAAAGCCCGACTCAGGGCTCCTTTGGTTTGATTTGTATAAGTTGAAGATACTCTTTTTTTTAGGAAATGCCATTATGGCGATTTATATTTCATGTGAGAATAAAGATACATCGTTTGACAAAACGTCTACTAAAAACCTCGGAGGCTCCAACTTCTAGAGAATTATTCGAGAAGTCTCCAAGTTCCTAGAAAATATATCCGCCGCCATATTAGCCTCCCTAGGACAGTGATGAAAATATATCGAAAAAAAATGCGAGCTAAAAAGAGCATTCTTCATAGATTGCTGCCGCTGGGCCAAGGGAATTGCCGCCATTCTGCATGATCTCAATTACCTCCATACAATCCACCTCCACGTAGATTTTGTTGCAGCCCATATCATTAGCCAGAAGAAGCCCATCCCTAAGACCCCGAGCTTCTGCTGTCCCAACATCTTTCATGAACGGAATATCAACACAAGATGCAGCCAAGAAAAAAGTTGTGTCATCACGTAAACTTGCACCCGTACTTCCAGTACCTCTGTCTTGATCAAATGTAACATCAACATTGAGTTTAACTAGACCATCCAGCGGCTTGTTCCATCCATGTCTCCTGATTCTCATATTTTTGAATTGTGCATGTGTGAAGTTTTTTGCCAAAGCTAAAATTGCTTGTGCTGATCTCGTTGGCTCAAAAAGGAGCTCACCATGAGTGAACTGGCGACGCTCCCACCACACATACTAGACACCTATGGCCAGTAGATCATTGCGGTTAACATCAGCCACCAATGACTGAATTTGACTCCTGGACAGTAGCATATCCGCCGGCACAGACCCCCTTCCCTTTCAGATGTACATACCTCATTGATCAAGGGTCCCAGACCAAGAATTCGCCATATTTCTTGCACCCTTGGGCACAGAAACAAAGCGTGCCTAATTCTCTCATAGTCGGATGTACAAAGCAGGCATTGGGAACTACTCCCTTCTTTCCAGTTTATGGGCTCAATTCAAAAATCCCACCAACCAAGATAGATGGTGAGTGATGGAATACTTTTTGTAATTTGCAAAAGCACCCAATTAATGCTCTTGTTTTCCTCAAAAAATTATGTTTACCAATGTATTAATTGCAATGCATGCATGCATAAAGTACACACATTGGTCAATTTTCTCTTAATACTTGCATGCAACGATTTAATGCACCTTGGAATCTGAACTTGTGATGAGGAACAACCAAATTGAGCCTTATAAAATGAAAAAACTAAGATTTTGAGATAAGCCATATAAACCGAAAAGGAGGGAGTTGTTATCATATGCCTATTCGCAAGGACTCCGTAACAAGGAATTGCTCCAAGCAAAGCTCTCCACACATGGATTTTTATTTTTGTCGGCACACGCAATTTCCAAATGGTTCGCCAGACTGGACTAGTACTTGAGGCTTGAACTGAGTTTGTCATTCTCAACTTTCGTGGTAAGCCATTCTTCATGATAAGCCGGTCTAACAAAAAAATCCCACTTCTGTTAAAGTGCCATGAGACAAAATCATCCATCATACCCATTGCCAAAGGAATGTTCATAATTCGTTGCACATCAATAGGCCAAAATATATCATTTAATAACTGTTCATCCCACGTCCTTTTTTCGGCATCAATGAGTTCAGAAACTCTTATAATCAAAATTTTACCTCTCAATGTCATAACTTTCTGTGTAGGACTGCTCGGTATCCATGGATCTTCCCAGATCTTAATTTGAGAACCGTCGCCTACTCTCCAAGTAATTTCATAAGCACCGCCTCGTCAAGGTGGACCTCCTGAGGCCGACCCAAAGCTTGTAAGAGCATATATAATCAGGACTGACTAATTTTGATCCCCAAACATCCGTGGATGTGCTCGGTCAGTGACCGGGCGTGTCCGTTTTGAGTCTTTATTTGTGCATGCATGTAACCATGTCCCCTACATTCTCCCAAATTGCCCAGTCAAATGCATCTGATTGATGGGCATGAAGAAAGAGAAAATGTGGTCCGAGGTAGGCCGCATCCTACATAGAGGGCTGCCCGAACATCCTCATATCCTTCCCACATATGAATTGAATATAGGAATTTGTGGACTTACCGGACACGTTGGGACAAAGTGAGGGTTGTGCTTGGGCGACTCCTTTCCTCCCCTCATCTGTCCGAACAATGTTCAAGTTGTCTGATTAGACGTTTGAGAGGTCAGATTGTACACGTCCAGAGTAGATGCTAAGAATGCAAAATGGGTTGCACCCTAAAAAACTGGAGCTCATGTTAACTTTTAATCTCTCCGTTCCAAATTACTCGTCGCAGAAATGGATGTATCTAAAACTAAAATACATCTAGATACATCCATACCTGCGACAAATAATTCCGAACGGAGGAAGTACAATCGTTCGTTTCCCGTTTCAACCATCCAGATTCATATAAGAGATACATATGAAGTTGTGTCAGGGTCGTGAAAAGCATCGTCCTAAAATGTCTCGAGAAAGAACATGTTTTGCCTCTACGCGGCGTCGTTTATTTAGGTGAGACGTGGGAAGGAAACACGACCAAATCATATCTCCGGCCTCTCGTTCAGCAAGCATGCAAACTACTCCCTCTGTCCGGAAATACTTACAATAAAAATATATGTATCTAGACGCATTTTAATTCTAGATACATCTACTTTTATTTATTTCTATGACAAGTAATTTCAGACGGAGGGAGTACAACTGAAAACAAGATGACAACATTTACTTCAGAAGTACAATTGAGCAGCCTAGCAGGGGATCTGCCTGATGAACCAGCGGATGACCTTGACGGGCATCTGGACGAGGCCCACCGCCAGGTTCGCCACCGCCGCGCAGCACACGCAGCACGGGCACACGCAGCTCAGCGCCGACCTACCAAGAGAAAACGAGTTCAGACACACACTCACGTTATGCTAACAAGCCGAAGCAGAGAAACCAAAGTTTAAGCCAATGTCGCAAGCACCCAGAAGATGGGGCTGGCATGCATGAGGGTCGAGGGAGCAGCCAGGAAGAGACGCGCACGCACCCGAGGATCCAGACGACGGCGCCGGCGAGCGAGAGCACTAACGCGAGGGCGGCGAACGGCAGGCCGATCAGGAGCCCCAGCGGCCGGCACTGCCAGCCGTCGTCGTCGCGACGACCATCGTCCGCCCCCATCGATCGATCTCCGGCTCCTCCAGCCGGTTGTTCTTCCGCAGCGTCCTACGTAGGTGCGTGTGCGAACTGGGAGGTTGGAACTATGCCCGAAACCGAGAAACCAAACGGTTGGTAAAGAACGCTGTGAATTGAACTCGAACTGCCAGCACCGAGTACGTGCGGTGCGGGGCGGGGGAACTCCACTCCGGAGAGTGGCGCAAAACCGAACGGGCAGCGTGCGTGGCAGTCCTTTCTTTTTCCCGCCAATCACAGCCTTTGGTATGTTTTGGTTAACTGTTCTTACCAAAGCGTAGAAGCTCGTCATGAGGTCGGTTGCCAGGTCCGCCTGGGATCCGGATGCGCCTGCGCGAACGACCACGAAAATGAATCCGATTTCGCCTCGTACAGTGTTTGCTCCGGTGCCGCGGCTTTAAGAGGGGGATATCGCCGCCCTGGTTTTCGCTTGCTCACACTGATTCAATCCCGAGTTTACCCGGTACTGAGTTTGCGAGGCGATCCGCTCCTGCTCAGAGCGCGGGTATGTTGGCGAACAGCATGGAGCCGATCATGGCGGCGGGCAGAGTGCCGTGCGCACAGGGGCAGGGCCATGAGCTGCAGCAAGATTTCAACTAGTGGACTTCGAGGCGACGTGCGAGAAGGACGCGCGGATCTACAGATCATCGAGTTCCCCGCCGTCCTCGTCGACGCCGCCACCGGCCGCCTCGAGTCCGCGTTTCGCCGCTACATCCGCCCGAAACACCACCCCGTGCTCACCCAGTTCTGCAGGGACCTCACCGGCATCCGGCAGGAGGACGTCGACGGCGGCGTCGACCTCGGCCAGGCGCTCCGGCTGCACGACGCTTGGCTGAGCGCGGCGACGACGGGGGGCAGGGGACAAGAGATGCGGCGGCCGATTGGCCGTCGTCACGTGGGGAGACTGGGATTGCCGCACCATGCTCGAGTTCGAGTGCCGCTTCAAGGGCATCGAGAAGCCCTCCTACTTCGATCAGTGGATCAACCTGAGGGTCCCCTTCCAGGCGGCGCTCGGCGGCGGAGGGCGGTTCACCCTGCAGGAGGCGGTCCGCGCGGCGGTACTGGACTGGGAGGGACGCCTGCACTGCGGGCTGGACGACGCGCGCAACACGGCGTGGCTTCTTGTCGAGCTCATGCTGCGCGGGGTCAAGATGAGCATTACCGGCTCGCTGGCGCCGCCACGACCGATCCAGCAGCAGCCGCCTCACACAAGCCCTTGCCGTGGCTCCTCAGCACTGGCGCCGCCGCCCATCCAGCAGCAGCAGCAGCCGCAGCCTCACGTAAGCACCTGCAGTGGCTCGTCTGTGACGTGCTTCTCCTACTGCGGCCAGCGGGTGGCGACCAGAGGAGGTGTGGTGTCGGTGCCGGGATCGATGCAGGGGAAGTGCTTCTTTGCGTGCGTCAATGGGTGCCGTGTGTTGTTCGTGTGTAGCAACTGAACGAGCCACGACATGAGTCTAGTATATGGAGTAGCATAATACGGTGCGTTGCCAACGATGTTTGACGAAACAAAGATGTACAGACTCTTCCAATAATAATTTATATATTTTCTTTATTATTTTACTATATGTAGAATAGGGCACTCTAGAATCAGACATACTCTACATGAGTCGCATGTTCCTTTCCATAGAGTTCTTCAAAAGTGTTAGATGAACGATGAAGTCACTAAACAAGTGAAAATAAATAATGCAGAAGAGTGATAATTATGAACGAGAATATTTCTTAGTTCAACATCAACAAGCATTTATAATTTATTCTTTATTAATTTTGTCTGGACGAGAGCTAATCGAGCTTATTTTTCTGGCTTTCACAGGCGGCACGGTGTTATACCATATACAAAAACATATATTTCATCACAGAGGGGTTCCATCGTGGTAGCATGCCACCAAGACGTAACATGTGTCATGTCAGAGTCTCTTCAAGCCTGGGCTTCTTTGTTGGAGGCTCTTTGATTAGTTCAGCACGCTCGGCAGTTTATCAGAAACATCGCCCAACTATATTAATATCAACCAAAAAAATGTAATAATGCATGCCAAAGAAATATGCATGGTCATCATGTGAGGATGCACATTGTATAGCACATGTTGTAAGTCATAGTTAACTTGGACATGGAACTGCAGATGGTAAATATATTTAGAGTCAAAAGAAGATTGCCACCCTGGCGCGGCGGGCTTGCTCGCCAACACGCACAAGCATCGATGGGACAATGCACGCGGCACCGTCGAGCTTGCCTTATCACCCCAACTCAGTGCGGCGCCCAACAGGCTGCGAGGCAACTAGGCTGGGGAGTTGTTGTCGTGATACGGTGCATCGACGGTGGTAACATGGTTGCGACATAAGTCTGCTTATCCGGGTGAAATTCGATATGAATGTCCCTAGGCTCCTCAAGCTCCCTCCTGTGATGACGTGTGAGGGAGTCCTGTATTAGGAGGTCTCCGGACAGCCGGACTATAACCTTTGACCGGATTGTTAGACTATGAAGATACTAAATTGAAGACTTCGTCTCGTGTCCAGATGAAACTCTACTTGGCGTGGAAGGCAAGCTAGACAATACGAATATGCATATCTCTTCTTTTGTAACCGACCTTGTGTAACCCTATCCCTCTCCGGTGTCTATATAAACCGGAGGGTTTTAGTCCGTAGGACAACAATAACATACAATCATACCATAGGCTAGCTTCTAGGGTTTAGCCTATCTGATCTCGTGGTAGATTACTCTTGTACTACCCATATCATCAATATTAGTCAAGCAGGACGTAGGGTTTTACCTCCATCAAGAGGGCCCGAACCTGGGTAAAACTTTGTGTCCCCTGCCTCTTGTTACCATCCGCCTAGACGCACAGTTCGGGACCCCCTACCCGAGATCCGCCGGTTTTGACACCGACATTGGTGCTTTCATTGAGAGTTCCTCTGTGTCGTCGCCGTTAGGCTTGATGGCTCCTTCTATCATCGTTAGCGATGCAGTCCAGGGTGAGACTTTTCTCCCCGGACAGATTTTTGTATTCGACGACTTTGCAGTGCGGGCCAATTCGCTTGGCCATCTGGAGCAGATTGAAAGCTACGCCCCTGGCCGTCAAGTCAGGTTTGGAAGCTTAAGCTACACGGCCGATATCCGCGGAGACTTTATCTTCGACGGATTCGAGCCTCTGCCTTGTGCGTCATGTTGGAAATATGCCCTAGAGGCAATAATAAAAGTATTATTATTATATTTCCTTGTTCATGATAATTGTCTTTTATTCATGCTATAACTGTATTATCCGGAAATCGTAATACACGTGTGAATACATAGACCACAATATGTCCCTAGTGAGCCTCTAGTTGACTAGCTCGTTGTGATCAACAGATAGTCATGGTTTCCTGGCTATGGACATTGGATGTCGTTGATAACGGGATCACATCATTAGGAGAATGATGTGATGGACAAGACCCAATCCTAAGACTAGCACAAAAGATCGTGTAGTTCATTTGCTAGAGCTTTGCCAATGTCAAGTATCTCTTCCTTTGACCATGAGATCGTGTAACTCCTGGATACCGTAGGAGTGCTTTGGGTGTATCAAACGTCACAACGTAACTGGGTGACTATAAAGGTGCACTACGGGTATCTCCGAAAGTATCTATTGTTTTATGCGGATCGAGACTAGGATTTGTCACTCCGTGTAAACGGAGAGGTATCTCTGGGCCCACTCGGTAGGACATCATCATATGCGCAATGTGACCAAGGAGTTGATCACGGGATGATGTGTTACGGAACGAGTAAAGTGACTTGCCGGTAACGAGATTGAACAAGGTATTGGATACCGATGATCGAATCTCGGGCAAGTAAAATACCGCTAGACAAACGGAATTGTATACGGGATCGATTGAGTCCTTGACATCGTGGTTCATCCGATGAGATCATCGTGGAACATGTGGGAGCCAACATGGGTATCCAGATCCCGCTGTTGGTTATTGACTGGAGAACGTCTCGGTCATGTCTGCATGTCTCCCGAACCCATAGGGTCTACACACTTAAGGTTCGATGACGCTAGGGTTATAAAGGAAGCTTGTATGTGGTTACCGAATGTTGTTCGGAGTCCCAGATGAGATCCCGGACGTCACGAGGAGTTCCGGAATGGTCCGGAGGTAAAGATTTATATATAGGAAGTCCTGTTTCGGGGTCATCGGTATTGTACCGGGACCACCGGAAGGGTCCCGGGGGCCCACCGGGTGGGGCCACCTGCCCCGGGGGGCCACATGGGCTGTAGGGGGTGCGCCTTGGCCTACATGGGCCAAGGGCACCAGCCCCAAGAGGCCCATGCGCCTAGGGAACCCTAGAGGGAAGAGTCCTCGAGGGGGAAGGCACCTCCGAGGTGCCTTGGGGAGGATGGACTCCTCCCCCCTCTTGGCCGCCGCACCAGATGCCATCTGGAGGCTGGCCGCCACCCCTTGGGGTGGGAAACCCTAAAGGGGGCGCAGCCCCCTTCCCCCCTATATATATGAGGCCTAGGGGCTGCCCATAACACGCGATTTGATCTCTCGTTGGTGCAGCCCTGCCCCTCTCCCTCCTCCTCCTCTCCCATGGTGCTTGGCGAAGCCCTGCGGGATTGCCACGCTCCTCCACCACCACCACGCCGTTGTGCTGCTATTGGATGGAGTCTTCCTCAACCTCTCCCTCTCTCCTTGCTGGATCAAGGCGTGGGAGACGTCACCGGGCTGTACGTGTGTTGAACGCGAAGGTGCCGTCCGTTCGGCACTTGGTCATCGGTGATTTGAATCACGACGAGTACGACTCCATCAACCCCGTTCACTTGAACGCTTCCGCTTAGCGATCTACAAGGGTATGTAGATGCACTCTCCTTTCTACTCGTTGTTGGTCTCTCCATAGATAGATCTTGGTGATACGTAGGAATTTTTTTGAATTTCTGCTACGTTCCCCAACAGTGGCATCATGAGCTAGGTCTATTGCGTAGATTCTTTGCACGAGTAGAACACAAAGTAGTTGTGGGCGT